ATGTTTATCAATTTTTATATATGTTAATGGAATATTAATGCATTAATTTTATTGCTTATTTAATGTTAATGTAAAATTAATGCACTAAATTCAGATATATTTAATGTTAATGCAAAATTAATGCATTAATTTTAAAAATATTTAATGTTAATGTAAAATTAATGCATTAAATTCAAAAATATTTAATGTTAATGGAAATTTAATGCATTAAATTTTACAAATTTAATGTTAATGCAATATTTTTTACATTAAATTAATTTTTTTTTAATTTAATGTTAATGCAAAATTAATGGAAATCGCCTAGGTCTGCTTAAAGTGCAATATAATTAAGTCCAAATTATTTTAAATAATTAATAATGACACATTAGTTAATAATTAAACCTATATCAACTTATTAACATAAAAAAGTATAAATTTACCTTAACACAATTACATTTCGATTTACAACAATTATGCACAAATGTGTTGAAAATAATTAATAACTGGTAGTTATTAATCCAATTAAGACAATGTATGTGAACTGTCAATATATATTAAAATTGAACAAGTTAGGGCGCTACATTCGGCTAAGCCGAATCTTAAATACCCTCCACCAGCTACTTTTATATTAATACTTTTATAATTTATCCAATATTTTTAGAAATACGTTTTCTCATGTCTTAAATAGAAAAAGCCCAAGATTTAAACAGCTTAAATTACAATTGTAAGATTTATGAACATTACAAACGCCATTTTTTTATATTTTTATAGCGCCCTAAGATATGGTTGGTTGTTCAGGCTGCAATAGATGCACACGTGGGTCCTTTTGGTCCCTTTGTGATACCTGTAAATATATTAAAAGAAAAGAGTTAGAGGACATAGAAAGTTATGGTAATAGAGATAGTGAAGAGAAATTATGGGGGTATCAATAGTAGTAGAAAACACTGAAAGACGGAGATAAGATAGTCAGAGTGAGATTGAAGTACTTAAACGGAAAAGAGTCTCGAACTCGGAAAAGCTACTGATCAGTGCTATTTGAGTTTGTGTCATCAAACCAACCGCAATGCCTGATAAAGGCGTTTAGGTTATCTATTTTAGTCCCTGATAACTCTGAGGTGTCCTCCAGAAATCGATGTCCCAGATAACGAAGTCGGATATCCTCCAGTACCGGCCAGTGGCAAAGAAGATGTTCTATTGATTCCTCTTCTTCCTCATCTTGACAGCTTCTGCAGTAGTCATTATAAGGTAATCCAAGTCGCATTGCGTGGTTACCAAATTTACAGTGTCCAGTGATGACAGCTATAGTTTTGCTGAGTTGGGTTCGGCTGTATCGTAGAAGATGGTCCGTGCGCTCTTTATCAAGCTTTGGCCATATCTTCTTTGTCTGAGTACAAGTTGGCTTATTTTCCCATCTTGCTTGTGAGAGTTCATTAAACATGTTATCTATAAGTCTTTTACATACTCCTATCGGAGTACCGCAGAAATGGTCTATGTCCGGGTCGGGCAATTGCGTACCCGCCTTCGCGAGCTCGTCAGCGATACAATTGCCTGTAGAGTCCCCGTGTCCTCGTACCCATACGAGTACGATGTTTGAATGTCTCGCCATCCTATTTAAGGATGTCCGGCATTCCTGGACTAGTCGTGATGTAGAGTATACACCTGTCAGGGACTTAATTGCAGCTTGACTGTCGGTAAAGATTAGGATATCTCTGTTTGATATCTTATAATACCAGAGCCAGTTTGCTGTTCTTTTTATGGCCGATATTTCAGCCTGGATTGGATTACAATCATTACCGATTCTAAAAGTAATCCTGATTCCAAATTCCTAAGATATACTTTAGCGATATTTATTATTTGCACGTGTGCATGTGTGTGAAAGATTTAAGGAAATTCAAAATATATATAATATTGTTCTACACAAATTGATAATGCAACTAGTTAAATACGGTTTAAGTGATTTTCGGGACAGGACCTAGTATGGGAGGTATGACCAAATATAGACCGATCGTAAAAAATTCTTCAAGTAACATTTCTGTACATAAAAGCTATATTTCAGTCAAATTTTGTATCTATTTCGTAATTTGGAAATAAGTAACGTGTGTTTAAGTGATTTTCGGAAGGGAACCTTGTATGAGACCAATCGCACCCATATTATGAACCGATCGTGAAAAAATCTTGAAATAAAATGTTTGTCTACAAAACTAATATTTGTGCCAAATTTTGTATCGATAGCTTTATTTGGTAATGAGTAATGTGCGTTTACGAGATTTTCGTAAGAGGACCTTGTATCGGAGCTATGACCAATTATGGTCCGATCGTACAAAAATTCCTCAGTAACGTTATTAATGTATATAAAGAAAAAATTTTAGCTAAATTCTGTATCTATATCATTATTTGGTAATGAATATTGCATTTAAGTGATTTTCTGGAGGAAACCCTGTATGGGAGCTATGGACCGCTAGTGAAAAAATTTTATAGTGTCATTTCTGTATATAAGAGCAATATTTGTGCTAAAAGTATGGATATCTTAATTTAGTAATGAGTTATGTGCGTTTAAGTGATCCAGTATATTTTTTCTCTAAAAGAATTCTATTGACATAAGATTTTCATTTGTAACATTTTGTGAAGACATCAATATTCTGACGGTAATTATTAGCAATAAACTCATTTTCCGGGAATATGTACTTTTGGATGGGAGGTATATGAAATTGTGGACCGATTCCGCCAATTTTTAATAGAAATCAAGCTCTCGGGTATATATAAGTTTGTCGTTCCGTGTGTAACCCCAAGAAATATTCATCTAAGACCTAACAAAGTATATACATATATTCTGGGTCCGTATTTTTTCTGGATCGATCCATATTTGGTTACATCTCCTATATAAAGTGCACTTCAAAAAATCACATAATCGCACATATTTCATTACCAAATTAAGATATTTTGCTAAAATTCGACACAAATATGAATAAATATACGAAATTTGTTCGGATAGGTCCGTTATTGGTCATAGCTCTTGTGACAATCACCTAAACGCACATATTTCAATAATTAATAAATCTATTGGAGTAAAATTCGACTTCGAAAATTACTTACAATGCACATTGACAATCAAAGTTATCGGGATAAAATTCACATTTATGTCGAGTGTAATCATTCTACGCAGTTTTTTTCCGGATCGGTCCATAAATTGTCTTAGCTCCCATATAAGATTTACTTCTGAAAATCACTTAATACCACTTAAGTCGTTATTAATCAATTAATAACGAATATCCGGATAAAATTCGACATGAATATGTTCTGTGTATAGATAAATCATTCTATTAAAACGTTTTCGAACTGGCCTATTAATATAAATTTTTTTTGACCTAATTAAAATTAGATTGACATATGCATATACATTTATTAGTACCCTCAATGCGGAAACAAAAATTTTGCCAAGTTATCTAAAAATTAGATAGTTAAATGGGTTTTAATAAAAAGTAGCTTGCTGGTGGAGGGTATTTAATATTCGGCATAGCCGAATATAGCACACTAACTTGTTTATACCTCATTGTTATAATAAACATTGATACTAATTACTTGGTGATATCAATATGTATTCCAAAAAAATTTCAATCTCAATTACACTAAAAACGTTTAAAGATCAATGATAAATCGTTGTAGAACAACACAATTAATCAAAATAAGTAACTTGTTAAATTGTTTAATCGCAAACTAATTGAATACAGTCAACTGTGCGCACACGCTGCTGCAATAACTACGTTGACCCATAAGGACACAGAGCTCTAGCTTTCTAGTGCGTGTATTCACTGGACCAACATTCTTGAGCTTTAGAATTACAGATGTCTAGGATCTGTTTTTTATTTACAGGCAGTGAAAATCCACAGAACTGATCTATTGCCAGTTCACTTAAACATAACTGAATTAAAAAGTTTAATGTTTGACTTAAACAATTTGTGTAAGAGCCAAAATCTCTCTATGTAACTTTTCAATGATCGGTCTATAATTTGCCCTACTTTTCTATTTACCTAAAGGCTACCCATAATTAAGCCGAAAGTTCTTTCAATATACGCGACATGATACCTCTAACGTATACCTCTGATCGGCCAAGTGTACTAATGTACTAGGTCAAAAGGAGTATAAAAATTTCTATATTTAGGGGTCCGCGAAATCAAATGAAGGGGTCTGTAAAGCAAAAACCCGAATTTTTGTCTAAAATCTGACAAAAAACGAGGAAATGGAATCCTATTTTCGGGACTTCTTGTCGAAACCCTTGTAAGCCCATGAAGTTCAAACTCAATACCTAAAATCGCCAACACTTTCTCTTCGCTCATGTAAATTTCATTCAAATCGGTCAACCCTTTTTGATTTACAGATTTATATCCCTCTTAATTTCTTTTCTATACCACTGTGCAGCATCTAGTGTGATTATCAGTACATCTAACATTGTTTAAAATAAAAAAAAACTCTAAAAGCTGGGATTCACTTTTTTAATAAATCGGAAACTGAAATGTATATGTATGTACTTATCTTTAATTATTCTCAACACCACAAATAAAAAAGCCGGCTATAAGAGAATTTTGAAAAGTCTCTCTGTAAATTCGAGAGAGAAACTAGGTACTAACATATAAACAGAATAGGATCGATTAGCGTCATACGTATAGTTATAATTTAAGTCTATATATTCGGAACTTCAAAGTCTAGTAATTTAATTTCGTGGGAGAGATGATGTAGGTTAAGTTTGGAAATTGTTTCCAGTTATGTAAATATCTAAAAGTTGTCTCAAAATCGATAGTTTATCATGAAAAGTTTTGACAAAAGAAGAGTCTTTATGAGTGCACAAAAGAATTTACATTTAAACTTATTTATTCCCCAAATTCTGCCAGTCGCACAAATTTTATTTAAACATGAGATGGAGATAAAAATGTGTAGAATGGCTCTTTAGAGAATACACTAAGTCTAGTCACTAGAACTAATAATCAATAAAATAAAAAAAATCACCGGTATCATACATATAAGTAGCTCAATGTATATTAACCTAAACTCAGTTGCAGTTTAGCTCTAGTCCAGTTTGGAACTGACGCTAAACAAACAGTTATTAAATTTATTTACGGAGTTTTGTTTGTTTATAAAGTTTGTTCTAGTGTTTAAAAAAAATTTGTGAACAAAAATCTAATCTATATTGATTAACTAAACAATTTTAAATAATTAATTATTATTTGAATAAATATTACTAATTTAATTAAAAATCATGAACCGAACATTAAGTTCAGCTTTAATATTTTTACAAATTTTAATATTTGTTAATGCAAGCGGGTAAGTTTTTTTTTTTATTTTATTTTAATAATTATTATAATTCACTTTTTTGGGGATTTTTGATTAATTAATAAACGTCAATTGTTTTCCCAGAATATTTATTTGTGCTTATAAACAGTTTTAGTAAGAAATCTGTATATATGTATATACAGTATGTTGGTGTTGTTTTTTGTAGGTTTTCATTATGTTGCACTAACACTTGTGTTAATAAATATCTTATCAGTTGAATAGGTGTTGAAGGTCAGAACTGGTTCTTCCCCAAACATTATATGGACATTGTATCAAGTAAACTTATACCACGACATATAGTGGAAAGACTATTTATGATGTGTTGTTTGCACATACGTTGCAAATAGGTATTTCTCCACAATTTAAAATATGCCAATCGATCCAGAATAATATTATGAGTCCCTATCAGCCATGGAGTGAGTACTTTTTTGGGGTTCAAAATACTTAATTAATTAATTAATTTCAAAGTCTTGCGAGTAGTCTGAACTAGTTTGTTGTCTAGTTTATAGACTATGCACAACTCTACTCTCTTATCTACAACTCTTATCTATGGACTAACCTATTGACTAGTCTATAGAATAATCTATTGACCAGTCTGAACGAGTCTATGGACTTGCCAGTAGACTATCCTTTGGATTAGCTTATTGAATAGTCAATTGACTAGTGTATTGACTAATCAATTCATTAGTATATTGTCTAGTCTGTGGACTAGTCTATTGTCTAGTCTGTGGACTAGTCTATTGACTAATCTGTGGACTAGTCTAGTGTATATAATATGGATTAACACATTGAATAGAATATTGACTAGTCTGTGGACTAGTGTATTGAGTATACTATTTAATAGTAGACTATAGACTAATCTGTTGACAAGCCTGTTGTCTAGCCTATGGACTAGGCTCTTTATTAATCTGTATAGTAGTCTATTGACTATACTATAAGATAGTCTATTGACTAGTATAGGGATTAGTTTATTGACTAGTCTATGTACTAGTTTATTGACTTGTTTATGGACTAGTATATTGAATTGTCTATAGACTATAAAGTCTGTTGACATGTCCGTTAATTAGTCTATGGACATGCATATCTGTTGAATTTTATCAAACCTTTGGTAAGACATCAATCAAAAAATATTTTTAGGTAACAAAATCGCCTAAGTATGTACATATATCGTTATTTACCTGAGCACTCATACAGGACCTTCTTTGCTCGATCATTATAAATCTTGAATTCACATTTAAAGAAAAATTCTAATAAAATAGACTTCAAAAACAACAGCCATCATTGAAATTCTATAAAGACCCTATAAGACCGTTCATAAGGCCGGTTGAGGGTAATCAAATGGTCGGTTATGTCCGACTATACATTGTCACCTGTTTTTATTGTCAACAGTTTTCAAAGTATTTTCTGATAAAGCATTTGTTTTGATGATCCTCATGATCTTGTTAATTATAGGTTAAGTTTAAAATTGATAATGAAAATATATAAAATGACATAAAACAAATATGAAAGTACGACTATATGATAACCTACATCGATATATAGCAATTTAGGTATAAAGTTTTTTGTATATAGGAAACTTATATAACGAACTGTGGTGAGACTGTCAAATAATATACCGGTTCCAATGGTGTTCTATGGACTAAATTTTCGACGATGTTTTTATATACTGCTAATTAAAATGATGGTTTTAGATCCGTGAAATTATATATATTCTAGATACGTATTGAATTCTATGACGATTCTACGTCCGTCTGTCTATTGAAAATAGGGTCCAAATGGGAGAAAGTAGATAGATTAAAACTACGATATATTACTTATGCAAAATAAATATACTTCTTAATTAAGTATTTAATCTCGCTTTACAGTTTTTACTCCATTGTAGCACCTGGAACCATACAGTCCCAGCATGATTATTCCGTCAGTGTCACTCTACATGAAAACTCAGAGCCGGCAACAATTAAAGTTGGCATAAAAGGACCATCTTACAATGAAGAAAAAACCATCGATATTTCACCCTCCCAAACAGAAATAGTCAACTTTGAAATACCTAAACTACAATCAGGAACATATCAATTAGAATCGGAGGGTATTAAAGGTTTGATATTCAAAAACTCTACTGAATTGAATTTTAAAAATAAAGAACCAAAAGTCTATATACAAACTGACAAGGCGGTCTACAAACCGGGAGATTTAGTACAATATCGTATTATTGTTTTGGATGAAAATACAAGACCAGCAAAATTAGAACAACCCTTGACTTTAGGCTTTAAAGATGGCGGCGGCAACTTTGTTAAGCAAATCAAAGATATTAAACTAAACAAAGGTGTGTATACGGGAAATTTTCAATTATCTGAACAGCCAGTTTTGGGTAATTGGCTAATAGCGGTGAGTTTGGGCCCTAACGAAGATGATACGAAAACTGAAAAGAAATTTGAAGTGGCCAAATATGTTTTGCCAAAATTTAGTGTGGATATAGAGACAGTTAAAGATATTGCTTATGGAGACCCTTTGAAAATAACGTTACGTTCCAAGTATACATATGGTAAACCGGTTAAGGGCAAAGCTATCATTACAGTAGATGCCGGCTATGGCCAAGCTAAGGCTGAGAAAATCATTGATGTAGATGGCAAGGGTTATGCCGAATTCGATTTGAAGAAAGATCTGAATTTGGAATTGTCCAACCCAAATAATCGTTTCGGTTATTATTTATATGTGCCACCCATTAACATTTTGGCGGTCATGACCGAAGAATACACAGGCAATAAACAAAATAAAACGACTTCGGTGAATTTACATCGTTCTCGATATATAATTGAAGTACCTCAAAATGCTTATGAATATGTAATCAATAAACCATTTGAAGTGAAGGCATTTGTGAAAAATCTCGACGGAACACCCGTTCAAAATGGAAAACATGTAGCGAAACTTTCGATAGGTAGAAATCGTCAATACTATGGATTTTCTCCTTTACCAATTGAAGCTGAATTAGAGTTTACTAGTGAACTCGATAAAAATGGTATGGCCTTATTTAAACTGACTATACCTTCGGTCGGCTACTACCATGATGTGAAAGTGACATATGCAGATCAAACTAAGTATCTAGGACCTTTAACGGGTAAGGAAGCTTCTCAGACTAAAGACAATGAAATTAAAGATGGTGAAGAAGATGTAGGACCTCTGAAATTGGTAAAGAAAACTGAAAAGTAAGTAATGGAGCTTAAAAATATTCGTAGAAAAAATTGTTATAAATTCCTCTTAATTTCAGACTTCAGCTTGATCAAGATGTTGTTGTCGATGTTAAATCGAATAAATATATTCCCTACTATGTCTACGCCCTCGTGGCTCGTGGTAACATTATTAAACAAGAATACGTTAAATTACCAGAAAATGTCAAATCTCATAAACTTAAATTTAAACCCTCATTTGAAATGGTACCCAAGACACATTTATATGTTTATTTTGTACTTGATGGTGATTTAAAATTTCAAGAAATTATACTTAATTTCCCCAAAGAATTTCAAAATAAGATGGAAATCACGGCACCCAAACAAGCCAAACCCAGTGAAGAGGTTACATTAAATATCAAAACTGATCCAGATTCATTTGTGGGTCTTTTGGGCGTGGACCAGAGTGTGCTATTACTACAATCTGGCAATGATTTGGATATGAGAAAAATTATTGACGATTTAAGTACGTATGATACTTCGACTCCTTATATTAGGGGTTATGGAACTTATCCGGGCAAATCATCGGGTTTGATTACCCAAACCAATGCAAATTATCCTTATTCCACTGGTAAGTTGTTTCTTTAGTAACACTATAATATAAACTATAATGTAAATTTACTTAATCTTAAATCTCACTTTCAAAGAGGAAGCATTTTACATAAGTGATTCTGAAAAATTTCCCGATATTGAAGATTTGATAATAAACCGATTTCAAAGTGAAACTGGTATAACAAAATCCGAAACTAGCAGTGATTTAAATTTAAAGATACGTAAAGAGTTTTCTGATATATGGATTTTCAAAATTATTAATAGGTTGGTTCAATCCCTACTCCGGCTATTTATACAAAATATGTAGGGTAAAAACTTTATCTTTCTGGGTGTTGGTTTTACCTATGTAGATCCCAAGGCTTTAATTTTTGTATTTTTATTAAGATTTTTCTGAATAATTTTACTGATTTTAAAATATTTTTTAACTAAAATATTTTCTATATACTATTCTATCGAAATTCTTATATTAAAATTGTTATACATATGGATGTAGTTGTAGTAATTAAAACCAGAACCACTTCTTAAGTAACATCCTTAAAAGCACTTCTTTATGGAACGATTAATTGATTTTCCCCTATTCGGCTATTGGACGCTATTTTGTATGAACCAAATTTCATAAGGATCGGTCCATAATTCACCATACTTTATTGTCAATAAATCGTTCAAGGTATTCAGAGAAATTCAACAAATATTTCCGTCATTAGTTAATCGAACTTCCCACAAAAGATCCACTTCCTAATATCATCCTAATTTCCATAGTTGTGTGTCTTCTTTTGGAATGAAAGTCACAGTTATCCAAATTAATTAATCGTCTAAATTTTATAAAATTCAGAGAAATGAAAAAATGGCTCAATTGCAACAAAACGTTCAGTAACTATAAAAATAAAATAAAATTTTCAGATTATCCTCGTATCTATTATAGTAGACCAGCTTCTGGAATGGGCTTTTCAGGAGCAATGGGCTTTCCAGGACCAATGCCTCAACATGGAATAAGGGGATACGGATTGGTTCCTCATATCCTTGATTCAGCACAACCACAATATTCAACAGCTGGCCTTCCTAGTTCCAGTATGATACCAAAAATACGTAAAGAATTTGTCGAAAATTGGATTTTTAATAATTTAGAAAAGTATGAAAAATCAAAATTCCAAATGTTATGATATATGCTACTAATCTTCCAAAAAAATTGGATCTGTTTAGCATTATTTGTGCGTGTGTGTTATGTGATTGTTTTATTTTTAAGAAGATATTCATCGGGTTTAAATTTTTATTTTCAGAAGTTATTTATTAAGTTATCAATGCGCTAAATCAGAAATATTATTACATCATTTAAAAAAAAAGTGGAACTTTGACATTTTCAGACTTTTATCCCATATATTTTGAAATGCCTTTGGGTTCGGATATTGTACCTTTTAATAGTGTAAGCATCACAGGAGGTTCTCTTTTCGGTATAGCACAGCCACAAGCTAGCTTTGCTGCTGCTCCTCCTCCTGCTAGTACCAGCATAGAATCAAATATCCGTAAAGAGTTCATAGAAAACTGGATTTTTGAAAACCTAAATAAGTACGCAAAACAAAATATTTTTATTAAATTTAAATTGTCAACGTAATTAACTTGTTAGTACAATTTATGTTAAATTTAATTCAAAATTTAGTATAATAGGTTTTTGTTTAAATTTAGAGCAAATATTAATTAACAAATGTTCTTAAAGCCCAATGAAATCGGGTGGATTTATCTAATTGGGTCAGCTTAACAAAGTTTTTGTACGAAATTCGAAAATTCATTCTGGTTTTGGGAGTAGCATTCGTAAGGTCCATTTTATCATAATAAATTAAACATATTAAAAGCACGATAGGATCTGAACGGTGGGAGTTCTGGAGAGTTTGCTTGATATTGAATATAGGAAATAGTTAGTTCCGGTTGAAAGTATTAATCAATAGACTGTAGACTATGGAATAGACTGTAGACTAGACTATAGACTAGACTATAGACTAGACTATAGACTAGACTATAGACTAGATTATAGACTAGACTATAGACTAGACTATAGACTAGATTATAGACTAGACAATAGACTAGACTATAGACTAGACTATAGACTAGACTATAGACTAGACTATAGACTAGACTATAGACTAGACTATAGACTAGACTATAGACTAGACTATAGACTAGACTATAGACTAGACTATAGACTAGACTATAGACTAGACTATAGACTAGACTATAGACTAGACTAGACTATAGACTAGACTATAGACTAGACTATAGACTAGACTATAGACTAGACTATAGACTAGACTATAGACTAGACTATAGACTAGACTATAGACTAGACTATAGACTAGACTATAGACTAGACTATAGACTAGACTATAGACTAGACTATAGACTAGACTATAGACTAGACTATAGACCAGACTATAGGCTAGACTATAGGCTAGACTATAGATTAGACTACCGGCTAGACTATAGACTAAATCAAATCTAAACCTTATAAATGAGTAAAACGTTTTTTGATACGAACAATCCCCTGATTTTATCTTATTATTATGCATTTTTTTTCATTATTGAATTTCTATGATCTTATTAAAATCTCTTATATTACAGTATATATCACAAAACGAAAGATCATAGTAGAATCTGAAAACAGTATATTATTAGCTCTTAGTCGTAATGATTCTCTTCCGGTAAGTCAGCTGCCAGTAAATATGATTAAAGGTCCTCCAAGTAATCCATCAACCATATTCGTAATACGTGAAAGTTTTATAGAATCTTGGATTTTCAACATCTTTTAAAAGTAATTATATAAGAGGTAATAAAAACCTTTTAACAGGGTTTTGCATTTAATACAGTTATATAATCAAATAACCAACTAAACACAAAATCAAGATTTCCCATTAAATTATTGAAAAAAATCTCTGTGTAGAATAACAAACATAATTTGCCAAAATCGGTTGCGGTAATCATTATAATAATTGGAAAAATCTGCTTTTGCGATTCATGGATATTTTTGAACATTTATATTTATATAGCGAGAAATATGAAACAATAAATTTGTATGACTGTGACCCCAAATATTTAGCGTGGTAGCCACTTACACAATACGGTTGAAAGCATTTAGGTCTGTTTTTTAGTCTACTTCTATTGTATGTATGAGCGTATTAAAAATTGTCATAAATTGTTTCAGAGGAATACGATTTAGTTGACTTTGCATTTGTGGAAGAACTTGAAGGTGAATTACAATTTCATATATTATCAGAAGGAGGTTCAGAAACGATGCCGCAAGCTGAACAAGTCACTACGCACCTTCGTATTCGTAGCAACTTTGAAGAAGTTTGGATTTTTCATAGACCTAATAAGTAATTTCAATACATAAATTGTAATATTCTAGAGTTATTATATACTTATTATATCGACAGAATCGATAGTTACAAACAAAAGTTACTGACAAAATCTTTATTTAGAATTGATCGGTTATAGTAGGGGCGATTTGGTTCGTCGTCACCCTTCAGGCATTTTACAATAAAATAAATTGTTCATTTACTAAACAAACATAATCCATTTTTAACCTTACAAGGGTTTATGTCTTAAATAAGCATTTAAACTCGGCTTAGATTTAAATATTTCCTAGCTCATATTCTCTCTGAGAACTCTATATTTAGCTTATCACTACTATATGTATATAACTTCTGCACGTTTTATGTCCTAAATCGTACAAATTATTGCAAAAACGTACATATCTAAAGCTTTTTGTGTTGCAAATCAATTCATGTTTAATGCACAAAATATTTTTTAAATTTAAATTAATAATATATTCTCTTTCCCTTTTCCTAATAATAATTCTCTCCCCGACAACTATGTTTAGCACCGATAAAAATGGCTTGGCTACTCTAACTAAAAAAATTCCCGATACCATTACTTCATGGGTAGTGACCGGTTTTTCTTTGAACGATAAAACTGGTTTTGGAATGGTGACAAATCCTACTAACATTGAGGTATTCCAACCTTTCTTTGTGAGCACCAATTTGCCTTATTCCGTAAAGCGGGGTGAAGTTATATCCATCCCAGTAATTATCTTCAATTACATGGATAAAGCTTTAGATGCTGAAGTTACAATGGAAAATACCGATGACGAGTACGACTTTACTGAAATTTCCAATGAAATTGAGGAATTAGTTTTGGAGGAGAAACAACGTGTTAAAAGAGTAACTGTTCCCTCGAATAGTGGCAAAAGTTTATCGTTCATGATTCGTCCCAATAAGGTGGGAGAAATAACTTTGAAAATTAAGGCCATAACACCCCTGGCTGGAGATGCTATACACCAGAAACTTAAGGTAGAACCAGAAGGTGTGACAAAATATGAAAATCATGCCATTTTTATAACTCCCTCTAAAGAACCTATAAAGGAAACACTTGAGGCTGTTATACCCAAAGAAGCTGTTTTGGATTCAGAATATTTGGAATTTTCTGTAGTTGGTGATATCTTAGGTCCCACTATTAAGAATATTGATCAGCTGGTGCGCAAACCCTATGGTTGTGGTGAACAGAATATGGTTAATTTTGTGCCCAATATTTTGGTTTTACATTATTTGGATGCTATTAAACGTAATATGCCAACTGTGGTTCAAAAAGCTAAAAGTTATATGGAAGTTGGTTATCAGCGTGAATTGACCTATAAACATAAAAATGGTGCTTATAGTGCTTTCGGTGAGGGTAGCAGTGAACCGAATAGTTGGCTCACCGCTTATGTGGCTCGTTCCTTTATACAGGCTAAAAAATATATTACCATTGATTCCGATGTCATTGATCAAGCATTACAGTATGTAGTATCAAATCAATTGGAGAACGGACAATTTAAACAGACTGGACGTTTATTCCATCCGGCTCATCAGAACGATGTGGGTTTTACTGCTTTTGCTTTGTTGGCTCTTTTGGAAGATATGGTAAGTATTGTATAACAATAGTTTTGTAATTACATGAAAGTCAGGTTCTTTAGAAAATACCTCCCCTAATAACTGATTCACAATTAACCCAAATTTTGCCTTCTATATATAATATTCTTTATTAACCCCTTTTTAATTTAGGATTATTCCAACAAATACAAATCTGAAATCGAGAAAGGTATTAAGTATCTGGTCGCTAATATTGACAAGGAAAGTGATATTTATGCCCTCGCTCTAGTAGTGGTGGTCTTAAAGAAAGTACAACATCCTAGTGCTGACAAACTTATAGAAAAACTTGAAAAATTAGCTCATGAAGAAAATGGTCTTAAATCGTGGACAAAAACATCAAAGGATCATAGCAACGATATTGAAATTACAGCATATATATTGGAAGCTTATGTATACACTGAACCAGCTGGAAAACTATTACCCATTATTAAATGGCTGATAAGTAATCGTAATAGTATGGGCGGTTTTGATTCAACGCAAGACACAGTTGTCGGTCTACAAGCTCTAATCAAGTTTGCTGAAAAGTATATTCCTGGTGGAGATGGTAAAATGATGATTACTTTCGAGGCTTTAGATGGAGAGGGAAAAGAAACCACTAAAGGTAGTTTTTCAGTGGATAAGGAGAATTCATTGATTCTGCAAACTCATGTGGTAAGTTAATTAAACCTTAGCGATAACTTTACAATTTACATTATATTCCTCTTTGCAGCTTCCCAAATCGTCTCGTCAAATAACATTGGAAGCCAGTGGTGAAGGCTCATCACTGGTTCAATTATCTTATCGCTACAATTTAGCCACCAAAGACGACAAACCCAGTTTCAGTATCAAACACACAATTCAGCCCACCGATTATCCCAATCTATTACAAATGGATGTTTGCGCTGATTTTGTTCCCGGAGCCAACAGTGACATAAAAGAATCTAACATGGCCATTATGGAAATATATCTACCATCTGGTTTTACCGCCGATACCGATAAGTTTGATGCCATACGTCAAGCCAATCAAGTGCAACGTATTGAAACTAAAAATTCCGATACAGCTATTATTATCTACTTTGATTTCCTTACGGCTGGCGAAGAGGTGTGCTTCAAAGTTAATGCCGAGAAGACTCATGCCGTTGCCAAGCAAAAGCCAGCCGCCATCACCATGTATGATTACTATAATTCGGATCAACGTGCCACTGTTTACTATGAAGTGAAGTCATCGTTGTGTGATATTTGTGAAGAGGGTGAATGTGGCAAAGGCTGTGAAAATAAAGGAGGCAATAAAATTGCATAAATTATATCAAATATTAAGAATTAATTACATAATTACTTATATTGTCATGATATAAATAAAACATTAAAATTTGTATAATTAAGATTTTAATTAAATAAAATTAATTACAATTCATGTCATATTTACTACTTCCTTTACATGCTATTTAAAAGATTATTTACCTCAGTGGAGCCTTGGCCAATTTTGGATCGATTTTGAAGAAATATATATACATAAATTTTGCAGAATGATTTCTTTATATACAAAACAAATTCGGGTCGAATATCATCCTGATATCGACATTATTTCTAAAGTTATTTAAGATTAAATCCAGGGTTTAATATTTAGTTTTATTTTTTTAAATGTCGACTGAACTGAAGAAAGTTCAAGTATTTATTTTTCCCTCACAAGCTAACTGAAGTCAGTCAACTGTGTCAACTCATTGCTGCAATAACTTGCAAGTGGTTTTGTTTTTCTTCAGCAGCCACACACACAAGCAGCGGCCATGTTAAGTTTTTCAATTCAGCCGAACTGAACACAACGACTGAACAGTAAAAACTGATTTGCGTGTGCTGCTTACGTATTGCTTAGTTCTTGGTTTCGTTTTCTTACTAAGGGACGCAAAAAAAACTGATAGTTTGACTGGTTAGTAAAAATCAAGCCGACTGAACAATAAAACTTGATGGGTTGTTTGTTCAGTAAGACTTTGTTATTGTATGCAATTTGTTTTAGTATATTGTATGTTTTTGTGTTTAAAGTTGACAAAAGTAAATAAAGTAATTGATAATTATTGCTAATAGAAATTGTTAATTAATTTAAAATTTATAAAATTATAAATTACTATACTTATAAATTTAGATATTTTCTTTAAATAAAAATTGATTTAAATTTAAGCTTTTTGATGATTTTTTAGTGAGATTTTGTTATTGTATGTATGTATGTTAGGGTGGGTCGAAATTTTTGATCAAAATTTACTTGATCAAAATTAAGCAACAATTGGTAATAATATAATTTTTACTTAATTATTGGCAAAAATTGCCTTTTTCCCGAATTCCTTCAAATTCACATTGCAGGTACGGTAAAACTATGAGAGGTATTAAGCTCATTCTTTCTGTGTTTAATTCTTATATATATCCTTTATAATATCCAGCATAGAAAACTTTAATTTTTAATAATCCATTTAACAAAATTTTTTAAAGTTTGAAAATGGAGTTTTGGAGATGCTGTTAAAATAATGGCCCTTTTTTGACCACAGACTAAACCGAGTAACCGTTATCCAATTTGAACAAAAATTCGTACTAGCACATTTATGAACCTTATAAAGATAAACATAATAGTTTTTTGTAAAATTTTTCAAAACTAACAAAAATTTTCTTATATTTACTTCAGAATCACAAAATTCTCGGGGGAAATTTTAATAACTCAAAATTTGTTTAACGAAATTTGAGTTTTTCCATCTTTTTGGAAAGACAATTTTGTAGACATTACGATTTTGCTATAAAATGGTGCAATAATTAAAACTTAAAGCCTCATTTTGTGAAAAAACTCCAAAAAGTGCCATTTTTCCCATATAAACGCAGTTACAAACTTTGGCAGCGATGCGCGGGCTCTTACCCTCAAAATAATTGAATAATATTTCAGAGTCTTCCATTTGACGTTAAAATACAACACAATTTCACTATTAAATGTTGATCCGAGCGAAAAGCCTATTTTCGACCCACCCTAATATACATACATACATATGTACATACATACAATAACAAAATCTCACTAAAAAATCATCAAAATGCTTAAATTTAAATCAATTTTTATTTAAAGAAAATATCTAAATTTATAAGTTTAGTAATTTATAATTTTATAAATTTTAAATTAATTAACAATTTCTATTAGCAATAATTATCAATTACTTTGTTTACTTTTGTCAAATTTAAACACAAAAACATACAATATACTAAAACAAATTGCATACAATAACAAAGTCTTACTGAACAAACAACCCATCAAGTTTTATTGTTCAGTCGGCTTGATTTTTACTAACCAGTCAAACTATCAGTTTTTTTTTTACGTCCCTTAGTAAGTAAACGAAACCAATACGCAGCACACGCAAAACTGTTTTTACTGTTCAGTCGTTGTGTTCAGTTCGGCTGAGTTGAAAAACTTAACATGGCCGCTGCTTGTGTGTGTGGCTGCTGAAGAAAAACAAAACCACTTGCAAGTTATTGCAGCAATGAGTTGACACAGTTGACTGACTTCAGTTAGCTTGTAAGGGGAAATTTTAATGAGTTACAATTTTTTAAGCATGGTACTAAATTTAGTCAAATATTTAGTAATTTGCGACTGCAATTAGCAGTTTTTTGAAACCCTGATTAAATCATTTTCGGATGTGGATATTACATACATATGTGGGAACTACATATTATCAATCATAGATTGATTTGTTTATGCACAAAACATATTCGTGTAGAATTTTATCCCGAATCAGTATTAGTTTTTGAGTAAATTAAAATTAAGTGATTTTCGGAAGTAAACTTTATATGGGAGTTTTCGCTAATTGTGTGTCAAACCGGAAAAACTTTCTGTATATGTACAAAACACATTTGTGTTAAATTTTCTTCCGATACGGCTATTTGTTTATGAGCTATATAACACCGTACGACAAAAAGAGAAAAATTTCGTTAGACACGAACCGGATGATATACGTCTGAAACTATAAATTTAATGGAGAAAAACTGCGTTTTCAACTTTTTCATTTCGTGATCCTGTGTCATTTTTGAAGGACTTCAACATTTTAAAAAGTATTTTTCAAAAAATATTTTAAAATACTTCTAATGATCAAACAATGCCGAATTTGATGCCGAGAGAACAAGAAGCGTTCGGAAATATTTTGTATAATATTTATTTTTTACTGACAGGATAAAAAGATGTCAAAAATGTTTTTTAAAATTTTTATCCTTTAATATCTATTTAGGCTTTCAATATATTGTTTTCAAAAAAATTTTGAAAAGAAAGTCTAGTCTATAGTCAGGTCTATAGTCTAGTCTATAGTCTAGTCTATAGTCTAGTCTATAGTCTAGTCTATAGTCTAGTCTATAGTCTAGTCTATAGTCTAGTCTATAGTCTAGTCTATAGTCTAGTCTATAGTCTAGTCTATAGTCTAGTCTATAGCCTAGTCTATAGTCTAGTCTATAGTCTAGTCTATAGTCTAGTCTATAGTCTAGTCTATAGTCTAGTCTATAGTCTAGTCTATAGTCTAGTCTATAGTCTATAGTCTAGTCTATAGTCTAGTCTATAGTCTAGTCTATAGTCTAGTCTATAGTCTAGTCTATAGTCTAGTCTATAGTCTAGTCTATAGTCTAGTCTATAGTCTAGTCTATAGTCTAGTCTATAGTCTAGTCTATAGTCTAGTCTATAGTCTAGTCTATAGTCTAGTCTATAGTCTAGTCTATAGTCTAGTCTATAGTCTAGTCTATAGTCTAGTCTATAGTCTAGTCTATAGTCTAGTCTATAGTCTAGTCTATAGTCTAGTATATAGTCTAGTCTATAGTCTAGTCTATAGTCTAGTCTATAGTCTAGTCTATAGTCTAGTCTAGTTAGTCTATAGTCTAGTCTATAGTCTAGTCTATAGTCTAGTCTATAGTCTAGTCTATAGTCTAGTCTATAGTCTAGTCTATAGTCTAGTCTATAGTCTAGTCTATAGTCTAGTCTATAGTCTAGTCTATAGTCTAGTCTATAGTCTAGTCTATAGTCTAGTCTATAGTCTAGTCTATAGTCTAGTCTATAGTCTAGTCTATAGTCTAGTCTATAGTCTAGTCTATAGTCTAGTCTATAGTCTAGTCTATAGTCTAGTCTATAGTCTAGTCTATAGTCTAGTCTATAGTCTAGTCTATAGTCTAGTCTATAGTCTAGTCTATAGTCTAGTCTATAGTCTAGTCTATAGTCTAGTCTATAGTCTAGTCTATAGTCTAGTCTATAGTCTAGTCTATAGTCTAGTCTAGTCTATAGTCTAGTCTAGTCTATAGTCTAGTCTAGTCTAGTCTATAGTCTAGTCTAGTCTATTGTCTAGTCTATAGTCTAGTCTAGTCTAGTCTATAGTCTAGTCTAGTCTATAGTCTAGTCTAGTCTATAGTCTAGTCTATAGTCTAGTCTATAGTCTAGTCTATAGTCTAGTCTATAGTCTAGTCTATAGTCTAGTCTATAGTCTAGTCTATAGTCTAGTCTATAGTCTAGTCTATAGTCTAGTCTATAGTCTAGTCTATAGTCTAGTCTATAGTCTAATCTATAGTCTAGTCTATAGTCTAGTCTATAGTCTAGACTATAGTCTAGTCTATAGTCTAGTCTATAGTCTAGTCTATAGTCTAGTCTATAGTCTAGTCTATAGTCTAGTCTATAGTCTAGTCTATAGTCTAGTCTATAGTCTAGTCTATAGTCCAGTCTATAGTCCAGTCTATAGTCCAGTCTATAGTCTAGTCTATAGTCTAGTATATAGTCTAATCTATAGTCTAGTCTATAGTCTAGTCTATAGCCTAGTCAATAGCCTAGTCAATAGTCTAGTCTATAGTCATGTCCATAGTGAAGTCTATTGTCTTGTCTAAAGTAGAGTATATAGTCTAGTCTAAAGTATAGTTTATAGTCTAGTCCATAGTCTACGGTTTATTCTATAGTTTATTCTATAATCTAGTCTAATGTCTAGTCTATAGTCTAGTCTATATGTCTGTTCTATAATATATACACTGAAAATAATTCATGCTTAACTTTACGAAATATTATTTAATCAAATTAGTTATTTAATCAAACCCTTTTCTAATTTTACGAGAGTACGAAAACCATTTGTAATATATTTTTCGTAAATTTAAGCGAAATGAAACACAATGATATTAATTACATTATCATTAAATATTGACCGATCCTTATAACGATAGACCGATTTTGTTTTATCCCTGCAGGAAATGGAACTAGTACCAAACTAGTACCAAAGTCACCAGTACTTGTTCCCAACTGGAAACTTTCCTGTACCATCATAATGCTCAAATTAACATTGAGTGTGTTTGAAAAATTACTAGTACCATTAGTTCTTGACTTATACTAATACACTTGGACCCAATTGGATTCTTTAGAACCAGTTTGATACTAATTCTAATATTCATAAAAAGTCGTCATAATTGCTGGTTTTGCTCTTTTGCAATCCTCCTGCACAATTCCAAGTGAAAATTACTACACAACTAGTTTTTTATACGGCTTTATTTCTAAAGATACAAAAAAAACTATAAAAAATGTTGTAAATACATTTACCTAACATTTCAATATGAAAGTTTGAAGAAATTCTGGTTCTATCCGTATCACCAAAGTGGATATCATTGATTTTATTATGTTCAAAAATTCCATTCAGGTACATACATATCTCCATTTCATTATAAAAACATTTGCCGTACGATGAAACAAATTATTGCAGTTTTTAAATTTAATAGACGTACTTACATAGGGATTTGCTTGCAACCGGACCTAAATTTGCATGAACTATTTATCCTCTCATTTGAAGGGATATGTTTGAAAATATAGTTTTTTTATACAAGATTTTTCAAAATTATATTTTAATAATTTAAAAAATTTATTTTTTTCAACACATGTCAAACAAAAAACAGTCTACAAGTGGCGCCATTCAACTACTCCTAGTACTAGTATTTTTCCATATAAACTTTAACCCAATTTGTACTAGTGTCTGTTGTTCTAGTATTAGTACTAGTGGTATTAAGACAATTATTGCCTCATTTCCTGCAGGGATATAAAACTTGTTTACATCGAATATCAGTGGAAAGGTTTTGGAACGTAAGAAACTTACTTATGTCGAATTTCACCGATATAGGGTAGGGTCAATTATGGACCAATCCACATGTATAAAATTTGGTAGAGAGATTTGGGAAACTTACTTGTGTCGAATTTCATCGCTATATTTGTATTTTTATGACAGTAATGAGGGTTAAATAAATTTTATGAAGGGGACCTAATATGGGGGGTAGGATTAATTATGGACCGATCCTCATAAAATTTCATGTGAAACTCATTTATGGATATTTTAAATATCAAACAAACCTTATCAATAGAGATTATTTATGCCAAATTTCAACTATCTAGCTCCTCCCGTGTGGTCTCTATCGTGATTTCAACAGACAGACGGACGGACATGGCTAGACCTTCTTAGAATTTATAAGGACCCAGAATATATATCCTTTTGTGGGTTTATTTTTTTTTTTTTTTGATGGGGGGTATAAAAATTCGTGAGGATGATAATTTGTTAACTAAAATAAGATAAAAATCTTTGAAATGAACAAAATTATTTGCATAAATTAATATTTCGCAAATTTTATTTTATTTAGCCATATTTAGTTAAATTTTACAATTTATGTAATTCAATTTTTCTAAAATTATTTTGCTTTATACTAAAATATTTTGAACAATTTCGAATATATTACGAAACAAAAAAAAAATTGTTCACTGAATGTATTATTTTTCCGTGTTCAGAAACTCAGTTTCCTGGACGTAATTCCTAAGAATCTTCCAATCAGTGTTGGTTAAGAATGTTATTTCCGGAATAACATCAATTCCAAGATACTTGGATCTAACTTCGACGAATGCCTGACAGTGGCAAAGAAAGTGCTCCAGAGTCGCACTGTCCTCTCCACATGCTCTACATTAGTCTGAATCCGCACGTCCAATTTTGTATAGATGTGCACGTTATTCTGTGTGTCCACTCAGAATACGTACCATCATACTAACCTCAGACTTGCTCATTTTGAGGAGATTTCTCGTCTTGCTCTCATCAGGGTCACCCCATAGAATTTTTGTGGTTCTACCCACCGTTTCATTATTCCAAGAGGCCTTATGGGATTCTCTCATCCATATTTTTAATTCAGCTTTTGTTGCGTCGAATGATTTTGCGTTTGTCAGGTTAACTATATCGAGCTCCCTTCCCTTTAAAGCTATTACATTCGCCCTTTCGTTGCCGACTACTCCCGAGTGGCCTGGTACCCATATGATGTAAACCTTACCTCTGGAAGAGTATTCCGTTAAAGCATTCTGACAATCCAATACGGTCTTAGATTTAATTCTATCACCTGATATCGCCCTAATTGCCTTCTGGCTGTCGGTAAATATATAAGGACCTGTGGGCGCCATATTTATTCTAAACCAATTTACACATTCCGTTATTGCTCGTACTTCTGCCTGGAAGCTTGTGTTATGATTAGGTAAACGTTGGTATAATTCTGTTTCTGGGTCTTCAATATAGAACCCCAGGCCCACTTTGTCTCCTAATTTAGAGCCATCCGTGTAGCAACGGATTTCTACTGGTATTTGCTCCAATGTTCCCCTTGACCAAGACATTCTATCTGGGATTAGCGTTCCAAAGTTTCCGACATATTCTGTGTCTGGTATGCGATCAGGCACGTCCGATGAATGTGTATAACCTTCCGATGTGTTCAGTATACATTGATGACCTGTCCTATAACCGTTTTTGGCCAGTTCGCCTAAAGTAAAGAGCCGTTCGGCTGTAAGCGCCGCCTCATATCTTAAATATGTTTCAATGGGTGGAATATCTAGCAACGTTTCCAGAGCCTTGGTTAAAATAGTACACATGGCACCACTTATACCCAAGCAGTACGCTGAACTCCCTGTAGTAGTTTGATATTACACTTTTTGTCCAAAGCAGTCCACCAGATTATTGAAGCAGAAGCTAGAATTGATCTAATTACACTTTTATAAAGCCAATTTGTCATAGTAGGACTAAGACCCCATTTCATGCCTATGGTTCTCCTACATATCGCCCAGCACCGATGTGCCTTGTTGATCCTATCCTCTATGTGGTGTCTCCATTTTAATTTCCGGTCAAGTATTACACCTAAGTACTTAACATTGTCTGTCACCGGTATCTTCTTGCCCAGGAAGCAAGGTTCATTATATGTAGAAATTTTTTGTCTTCAATACTAACAGGAAAAAAAAAAGAGTCACAGGTTTTATTCAAATACGTATGTATCTCAATGTGTATTAAATTAAACTCAGTTGTGGTTTAATTCAAGTTCAGTTTGTATCTGTCGCTAAACGAACAAACATTCAAGAGCGGATGCGAATAATTCTTTTTGCTAATTTTATTGTAGTTTAAAATAAAATAATAATTATTTTTGATTAATAAACAAATTCTTGAAAAAATATTATTTTTCTAACGAAAATTAGACTTCTTAATAGACATGAAACGAACATTAAGTTCTGCTTTAATCTTTTTACAAATTGTTATAATTGTAAATGCAATCGGGTAAGTTTTAAATTTATTTTAATGACTACATATTATATTTTTTTGATCATATTTAGCAGATTCTTTTAATTAATAAAAATCCAAGAATTTTTGTGTTAATAAATGCTTAAACTATTCGAACATATTTCTGTATAAGTGTTACTATTTATAGTTTTCGTTATGGTGCATTAAATTTATACCCTTTTTATGTTTAGTGCACGTAGTAGGTTAAAACTAGTTCTTCCTCTATTCCATTATATTGAGGATGATACTATGCGTTTGCGATGTTGTTTCTATTTATTCTATACCCATAATCACTTGCGAGTGCATATATAAAGCACTCCATGTAAAATTACATTAACAACGCACAGTGGCATAGGAAAAAAAAGAGGGAAATAATTCGGTAACTTCTAAACGGTTAATCCGATTTTAATGAAATTTGGTATGCACAAAGAGGAGGTGTTGTCGGAACTTAAATCGGAACTCAAATGAAGAAATAGGATCGTTTTAAAAATTTAACATAGCCGAGGTGTCCTAATTTGAGGACCCCCGCCGGGTCCCTGGTTGGCCTATAAGGTCCAAATTCAAAACCAAAACTCGACAACACCTCCTCTTTGTGCATACCAAATTTAATTAAAATCGGATTAACCGTTTAGAAGTTACCGAATTATTTCCCTCTTTTTTTTCCTATACCACTGTGCAACGTTCCTTATATGTATATACATTTTATTTTATTTAATATTTTATTTTCCTTTATAGTTTTTACTCAATTGTGGCTCCTGGTACCATACAGTCTCAGCACAATTATTCAGTAAGTGTCACTCTACATGAAAACGCGGAACCGGCACTAATTAAACTAAGCTTAAAAGGACCATCATACTATGAAGAAAAAACTTTCGATATTTCACCCTCACAAACAGAGGTCATAAACTTCGAAATGCCCAAATTAAAAGCAGGCAAATATCATTTAGAATCGGAAGGAATTAAAGGTTTAATTTTCAAAAACTCTACTGAATTGAATTTTAAAATTAAAGAACCCAAAATTTATATACAAACTGACAAAGCGGTTTACAAGCCCGGAGATTTAGTGCAATATCGCATTATTGCTTTGGATGAAAATATAAGACCAGCAAAATTGGAACATTCACTGAGATTAAGCTTTAAAGATGGCGCCGGCAACTTTGTTAAACAAGTCAATGATATAACATTAACTAAAGGTGTCTATGCCGGACAATTTCAATTATCAGAGCAACCGGTTATGGGCGACTGGTTATTGGAAATAATTCAGCGGCCCAATGATGATGATACAAAAACTGAAAAGAAATTTGAAGTGGCCAAATATGTTTTGCCCAAATTCAGTGTCGATATAGAGACCAATAAAAATAATGCTATACAAGATACCCTGAAAATAACTATACGTTCCAAG